AGGCCCCACAGAGGAAAGACCTGGCTGGCTGTTCCCCTAAAGATTACCACCTAGCAAACCCTACGGGGCAGTTCTACCGTCAAAAAATCATGATTTACAATCAACTTGGTAGAATACAACAACAACCAGACACAATCTATCTACTCTACAAGGAGCCCTGGCAGTGCTGTCCTAAAACATTGGACTACTGAACACAGTCAGTGGTTCAAACCCACCACCCACTCTTTAGGAAAGAGATGAGGCTGTCTGTTCCTGGAAAGATTTCCAAAAGCCTTAGAAACCCTATATAAGGAATCTATGAGTTAGAATTGAATTGATAGCAAAGGATTATTTTCTTTAAAATCTCTATTGTATGACTAGTCTAACAATTTTTATTTTGAACTGAGGAGCTATTAACGTGGTAATCTTTAGTTTGAAGACAGTAGTAAAAAATAAAAATCTAAGCCAGTTTCTCTGGCTCAGGGAGACCCTCTGTGTCAGAGTAGAGCTGTATCTCCAGAGGATTTACAATGAACTGATTTTCCAGAAAAAATTCTTCCCGAACTTTCTTCCATTATAATAAGTAAGTAACATTCAGTTCGTTTTTCATGCATTGTTTTGTGCAGAGCAGCAGAAACAAATGAATAATTTTCAACTTTCACGGTACTGAAAACATTTTGGTACACTGTTGCATAATTTTATTTTGTTGGTTAAAATAAAAGGAAATGAACAAACCAGAGATTAGAGAGAGTGAGGCAGCAAAATCTGTGTGGAGAGGAAGGAATGCAGAGGCAGAGTGATGGAAATCTATATATTAAACTGAATACTGATTATGCATGCCTAAGTAAAAACCATGAAAAGGGAGAAGTTATTACTAAACAACAGTAGACTGAGTGATTCCCAGAGCTCAAACAGGGCTGAAATAGTTCACCATTTCCTCCAATCAAAGTCTAAGACTAAAGGATGCCCTATATGCACCCTAACAACACTTAAAACGATCAAACTCATCCAATGTTCTTTTAGGAACATAACAAGATCTAGCAATCAACAACGCAAAATTCACCATGTCTGCTGTTAGGTTTATTGTGCCAACCTGGCCAATAGGAACATATGGTATTAATCAGGTCAGTTTGACTGGAGGACCAAGTGGTAAATGGTTCTGCAAGGCCCACCTCCTTCTCTCTTGCTCTCTGGTGATTGGAACGTGCTGGAACATGCTACTGCTTTAGCTAGTTCTCTGCCTCAACCTGTGAGCTACACTACATGTGGGCCAGGCCTACCTGTGGATCCTGACACTAAAGCTTGAGGCTCCTTTAAGACCTGCTTCACCATGCTACTGGTGTGCACATCACTGGAGCTTGAGGCTGGTGCATCCTATCGCCTTGCATTATTTGCATGCAATAGCCCATCCGGGGCTGTTTCACTAAGCTCCTGAGCTACTGACTGCTGGTGACCCACAGTACTGTTTGCTGCCTGCAGGCAGACTTGCTTGCCTTGCCAGAGGGAGGACTCTGCTGTCTGCTTCCTTGACCTTGGACTAGGCAGCCCACAGGAGTTGAAGGACTTCTAGTACGTTAACTGTTCACAGAAGTTGGGTTGAACTGAACCCTCTGTGCTCTGTGGACTAATTAGCCTGTATATTCCTTCTTGCTGTATAAACCTATCCATATATATAAATATATATATATATCACATATTCCCAAGCGTCCTGGTTTCTTTGCCCTAGAAAACCCTGCCTAACATATCTTGCATTTAATAGAAAGTTACCAGGCATGCACAGCGCTAAAAAAATTATGATGGGTTACATACATTAGGCTGCAATCCCAAGGCCAAGAGTTCAAAACCACCAGCTGGGGCACAGAAAACAAAAGGTAAGTCTTTCTGCTCCCATAAAGATGTACAGCCTTGGAAACCCTGAGGAACCATTATAATCTCTCCTACAATGAGGCTGTGAGTCAGAATTAACTCAATGAAAGTGGTTTTGGTTTTGATTGTGACCAGGTTGATTCAGACTCACAGTAGCCCTACAGAACAGTGTCGAACTGCTTCATTGGGTTTCCAGGATTGTAAATCTTTCTTTATAGGAGCAGATAGATGCATAGTTCTCCCACAAAGGAGCTAGTAGGTTTGAAATCATCACCATGGTTAGCAGTCTAACACATAACCAAATTTACTACCAGGGATCCTTAGAAGTAGACGCAAGGTGACAAATATAAGAGAATTATCAGATAAGATATTCTAAATATTTTCTAGATACTCAAGAATGCAGGATATGAAACATGTAAAAAGAATGTGACAGATATGCATTTTTTGAAAAATACAGAGATCCAAATAAAACTGCTAGAGTAGAAAACCTAAGAAACTAAAATTTAAAAATAAAAGCTATATGGGGTTAATAACAAATTAGACCCTTTAGAGAAAAAGATCTACAAACATGAAGTATGCAGTTACAGTAACAGAAACTATGCACAATAAAGTACAGTGAGAAATAAGTCTCAAAAAAGGATACCTAGCTATGGGACAATATCAAGCGATGTACTATACATATAAGCTGCCATCTAGGGAGAAAAGAAAAAAGGACAGAAAAAATACTAGAAGAAATAAGACCCTAAAGTGTGCCAAAGTTTATGAAAACTATAAAATCACAGATCCAGGAAACAAAAAAATCCAACCAGAGTAAGAACACACGCATTCACACGCACACACAAAGCACACCAGTTATGTTGCTGAAAACTACTGATTAAAAAGAAATTATAAAACCAGGAAGGAGAAAAAGTAAAACAAACACATATTCATATAGAGCCTCACCTTCAGGAAAAATATAAAGCAATACAGTCTTTCTGTAATAATATCAAATAACTTTTATCATTTTAGTGGGTTGTTTTGTTTTGTTTTCTTTTTTTTTTTAAGGGTGGCTTGTCATCTGGGGTCTTAAAGACTTGAAGGTAATCAAGCGACCATCTAGCTCAGAAGGAACAAAGCCCACATGGAAGATGCACACCAGTCTGTGCGATCATGAGGTGTCAAAGGGATCAGGTATCAGACATCAAAGAACAAAAAGTCATCCAATTGTGTGCTCACCACCCCATACAATCACTAAAGACAAATGGGTTGAGTTAGTTAATTGTGCCAACCTGGCCGATAATCACATGTGGGGCTAATTGAAAGGCAGAGGGATAAACGGGTGG